TTGAATTTCAGCAATTTCCTTTAATTACGCCGTGAGTTATGGCCCTTGTTTCACTTTGTTGTACCTTGTTTCTGCTCTAACGACAAAAGTTATTATCCGATCTGTATGAAATTGATATGTATTATTTGAATTAGTGAAACGAAAAAGTCTGTCAAATTTCAACAATTTCTGTAGATTACTTCCAGAGTTACAGCCCTTGTTTTAGTTTTTAGAACCTTGTGAACCCTCAAACGACGAAAATTATAATGTCATCTGAAGGGCGGGACGATATTTTAGGTAATTCTATAAATCATGATATTAAAATTTGAATTCCGATCTTTTATAAACCACCTAAAAAATCACGATATAATGATATATCGTATTGTGTGTTTTTCTATCAATATACCGGTATTTTACACGATATAATCACGATATTATGTGCTGCATTTGGCATGGGATTGAACAATTTACGATCGATGACTTGGATATGACTTGTCACTTGAATATGACAATGCCTACTAAATACATGACTAGTCTAGTAGATTTCTCGATTATTAAACTTGATAAATAAATTCATAATTGAAAAATTATTATTTAATTTATAAAGGCATTCCCCTCTTGCCGTTGGAATTTGTCATTATAATGTCAAACCCGTCGCTAATGCTGTGCAACACTCGAACAACCATCCAAGTAAGTCATGGCATAATATCTTCTCTTCGCCGTCTTCGGTCGATTTATCATTGGCACTGTTGGGAAACAGTTATTATCATTTAATGTATGATGCCGTTTGTTAGTTAACTATCATTTTGTGTGTGTGTTTGGGTGGGTTCTTTTTGCGAATTTTTAAACTGAAGCCGATTTAAATAAAAGTAAAATGTTATTTGTAAATAAAACTAAATTGCGTCTAGATATTCGAGATTTAGACAAACTCCAGAGTTATGTGCCGTTGTAGTGTACCGAATAGGATAAATTACGTCTGGTTCTTTGAGTCTACTCATACCCACATGTTATTCAACATTTTGAAAGATGGCAGAACATTGTGAAGCTCAAGCTGATCGAACAGTACTCAGTAGTAATAAAGCCTAAAAAACATTGCACGAGTCGTATATGGCTCTACTTGGGTTTTGATGAGAACGACGAAGTGCAAACGAAAGTTTTATGTAGATTTTGCAAGCGTCGTGTAGCTGCAAAAGGCGGCATCACCAGCAACTTGTATGTTCATTTAAAAATACATCGCCCAATTGAATATGCCGAACTTCAAGAGAGGGGAGAGGCTGGAGGGAATGACCTGTTTTTAACACTTATATAATCACATCTTTTATAATAAAACTAAAATATCGGGATATTATGATATATCGCGATATATCGTTAGCTTTTTATAATAAAACTAAAATATCGCGATATAGTGATATATCGTCGTTTTTTTGGGGAAATATCGCGATATTTGATTTTACCAATATCTTCCAGCTCTGTGGGCGTATGTTTAGTTGCCTGGCAACCTATCTTTTCAATTTTCAGTCTCTTTTTTATCCTATTCCAGACGTTTCAAATTCTTATTGGATGGTTTCATGCACAGGACTACCGAGAGGACTCTCGATAGAGAAAGTTTAAGAAAAATCTTTGGAGCAGTTTTTGAGATAAAGGCCTCCAAAAAAGCTCCAAATCAGAAAATACTTGATTTTCAGCGTGCCATAGTTTGCTGCTTGGTCATAGTATCCTTATAAATTTGTTATCATACGACAGTCCAATCATCGTGCTACCCAACAATACATTAATTTGTTTAATCCGTCGAAATTGGACGGAGAAATCCCGTTTTTTCCAAAAGCAAACCGTTTTGCTTTTTTTTTCTTCAAAATATCGAGCATTATTTCGACTACTTCCGGTTAACGGATCGGCTTTATCCAACGGTCTGACAATATGGCTTTACGATCCTGGAGTTTCAGAAAGATCGATTGATGCTTTCAAAAAAATATAAGGGTTGGAAAATGGGCAGAAAATTCGAAAAAATTTCACGATTTTTCAACTTTTTTCGATTTTCAGTACGTTATTTTACTTATTCCAGACATTTCAATGTCTTATTGGATGGATTCATGCACAAGACTACCAGAGGGACTCTCGATAGGGAAGGTTTAAGAAAAATCCTTGGAGCAGTTTTCGAGATATAGGCGTCCAAAAACGCTCCAAATCAGAAAATACTTGATTTTCAGCTTGTCATATTTTGCTGCTTGGTCATAGTATCCATATAAATTGGGCATCATACGACAGTCCATTCCTCAGGCCACTCAACAAAAGCTTAATTCGTTTAATCCATTGATACTGGACGGAGAAATCAAGTTTTTCCCCCAAACACCCATTTATGGCGTTTTTGTTCGAAATATCTATCATTATTTCGACTACTTCCTGTTACCGGATCGTTGTTGAAATTGCTTTATGCAGCGGTCTGACTATATAGCTTTATGTTCCAGGACTTTCAGAAATATCGATTTATCTTTTCCCAAAAATATTAGGGTTGGGAAATGGGCAGAAAATTCGAAAAAAATCAAAAAATAAAGGGCGATAACGCGGAATGAAACTTATATTTCTGGAATCGGATGGTGTTCAGGTATCCAAAAATGTAGGTCAAATTTGGAAATTTTGAAAAATAACAAAAATTGTCATGTAGACAACGTATTTTCAAAATTCGAACGACAAAAGCCATAGATGAATGTTCGAAATTGAAAAATTTTGTCAAGTAGCCACCACATGGTTTCCCAATAGAAAAATATGGTTCCAGATCGATATCTGTTTTCGATCATGGAGAAATAGACTCCCGCGGAAAAAAATAATAATAACTAGACCTGCAAACAGCACTGAACCGGCTTTCAGGAATCAGACAGGAAGTGTGTCATACAATAGCCCATTTATCGAGCTACCAAACGATACTTTAGATGTTTTGATCTGGTACAACCGACGGTGAAATCCCGATTGTTCCAAGAGCACCAATATTTTTACTGTCTTTTTTTTTTTTAAATATCGAATATAGTCGAGTAAAAATAGCAGAAAATAGTGATGGACCGAGAATAAATTGCAAGAAATTGTTTTTTGTCATTTTTCGACGCTATGGGACTTGTAAGTCGCAAATATGAAAATCGGACAAAATCGGCCCTCAGATAAGTGTTCTACAGTGGTCAAAGTTCAAGGTCATGTCAAAATGAGGTAAAAATGAAAGAATTGTCATAAAATCCTTAATATTTGTCATAAAGTATCAAACTTAGTGTCAAACTATGGGTTTTCGGGGGTGCTGAATCCAATGCAACCATTATTTATGTCACGCGACGTCATTTGGGAATGACGTCATGACTCTTAATTCCGCGATTTATCATCATAATAGGGCCCTAATAGAGTATCGACACTTGACTTTATACATGGGGTTATCGGGGATGGACAAAACAAAGCAACCAGCGGCTGCCAGGCAGGATACGCCCACATTTTGCAAGAGATGGATAGAGAACAAGCTAAACAAAAAGCAATTTTTCGAACAATCAAGGGCCATAATTCAGAAAGTTGCGATCCGATATGCGCGAATATCGACAGGAACCAAGATCTGTAGGTTATAAACATGCATTTCAAGTTTCATTGAAATCGGATCAAAATTGTGACCTCTAGAGGGTCCACAACCTTGATATACTATATTTTTACACTATTTGTCTTTGGGTTATAAATATGTATATCAAGTTTCATCAGAATTGGATCAAAATTGTGACTTCTAGAGTGTACACAACCTTGATATACCATACATTTACACTATTTGCATACGAGTGGTGGCCATTTTGTCCGGTAGTTTGGGTCCTATTTTCAACAATTTCTAAATCAACCATCATTTGGGTGTAACGGTGATATAGTAAAACGTTTTTTTAAATCGGATAAAAATTGTGCCCTCTAGAGGGACCATAAGCTAAAAACGTGATTTTTCGTACAATCAAGAGCAATAATTCAGGAAGTTACGATCCGATATGCGCAAATATCAAAAGGAACCAAGATCTGTGGGTTATAAACATGAATTTCAAGTTTCATCAAAATCGGATCAAAATTGTGACCTCTAGAGGGTCCACAATCTTGATATACTAGATGTTTACACTATTTGCATACAAGGGACGGCCATTATGTCCGACAGTTTTGGTCGGATTTTCACGAAATTCAAACTCAACCAACATTACGGGGCCATAATCCATGAAGTTACGGTCTGATACATGCCAATATTGAAAGGAAAATGTGGGCGTATAAATATAGGCGTGGCTCTGCCCCTGGGGGTGGTCATGCACAAAAAACAATAGCGATTATTCTTGGGGTATAAGAAATAAGTATGCACAACTTCAAGACAATCCATTAAGAATTGTGGCTTGTAGGCTAAAAACTGACACATACAAAAATTGAGTGTGGCTCTCTGCCCCTGGGGGTAGGGCACACACCAAAAACAATAGGGAACATCCTTAGGGTACAAGGAAAATATAGTATACATAGTTTCAAGACGAAGCGTTAAGTATAGCGGCTCGTAGTTTTGACGGGCCTAAGTCTTTCAGACATAATTTTAATCTGATCATAAAAACCCATTATTCCAATTAAGCGTATTAACTATATTGTTCTCATTTTGGACGCAAAATAAAATTAGAACAATACAATGTACATCCAAAATGATTACATATTTGTAATCTACGCAAAAAATCACTCTAAATAAACAAGTTTGAGGAGTATAGGTCATTCAGAAGTTATTTTAAAATCAATGTGAAACATCAACAATTTTTATAACAGCCATAAAAAGTTCATCATCCCACAGATTTCAGGTGCCAATTAAAAATATAAGCCATCAAATACCGAAGATGGACTTGTCATGTTCCCACCATTGTTCCAATTGATAAGGAATGACCCACATATCTTCTGTTGTCTAACAAGATAAAATATAAAATAATGGCAACATATTCAACTACAATAACATCTATTTATACAGAATGTTACCAACAATATAGATAATATAATTACAATACCTGGGAATGTTGAAAATGGCTTTTAATCATTTGGCCAATATTTTGTGTATGGGAAAGATCTAGGGCAGCATCAACTTCATCTAGGATATATATTGGTGCTGGTTTAAATAATAGTAGTGACAATATCAATGATAAAGCTACCAAAGATCTGTAAAATAGAACCATAATAATATTATTTGTAAATGTGCATAGTATGAATATGAAAGCTGAGTCTGAAGTCAGGCAGTGAAAGGACAATTCGGAGTGAACCTCGCAGTTGGGTACCTACAATGTTTTTTTCAGTTTATTTGAGCGCTTTTCAGAATATGCAAATGTAGTCCACAATTACCGAAATACTGTTTATTGACTATTGCCATGAATTACCAGTATATATCTGTGACTATATATATAGTTCAGTGAATATGGCTGACAACATAACAAAATTGATGCCTATCTATGCCTATTTTCCATAGTATACCACCACAATAAGCCCATTATAATTTATAGATGCAATCAAGTGACTCATTAGTCCTGGATATGCAAATTATGTACCACCATTACACAATTATAAATTTTTGACAATATCTTACATATTACAATGGATAATGGCACCAAAAACTGCTTATACATAGGGGATCAGGATCTCTAGTCTGATTCGGTTTGTTATGTAATTCCCATCCATCGGCTTTTTGGGTAGAAATAGTGGAATAAGCTTTATTTTGAAGGTTTTGATGTTTAATGACAAAAAAACAATGTTGACATTTTTTCTGAGTAGGTCTTCGTGTCATTTTGCGATAATATTCCAATTTCCTTTTGTATTTTCACCTTATTTATAATGGTATCGACATTATCAGCTGTGATTTGGCAATGTATTAATATTGACAGGGGTCTTGACTATATTTCAGATAGTTTTCCATCACATCATGAAGATATTTCCAAAATGTCAACCATTTTTGGCAAGAAAATCGGAAGATGCGCTGATTTTGATTAAGTAGTAGTATTTGGTGTCAATACATATGTTTTCAGGGGCACAGATTCCATTTATAACGGTTACAACTGTGTAAAATGATCACATGTTCACCTATTTTGCATATTTCAAAGGTGGCCACAGTTTTTGGTGGGAAAATGGGATGATGTGCTGATATTGATTAAGTAGTCGGCTATGGTAACAGGATATATGTTTTCGGGGCAGAGATTCCATTTCTGTCATTTACAATTGTGTAAAATGATCACATGTTCACATATTTTCAAGATTGCAGCTATTTTTGGCAGCAAAATGGGATGATGTGCTGATATTGATCTATGGTATCAGGATATATGTTTTCGGGCGCAGATTCCATTTCTGCCGTTTACAATTGTGTAAAATGATCACGTCAACATATTTAGAATATGGCTGCCATTTGTGGCGGGACATTTCGTAAACACATTACTGAAAAGGTTTCTGAATCCAATTCTGCTATGTATAAGCTTGCATCATGTTCCTGGAAGCAGTGACATGTTTTACCCATTATGTATATTATCCAACAATGAAAATTCCTCATCAGAGTTGACCACTAATATTGATTTTCCAGGAAAATAGCACATTTACTTGGTCGATCGCGCTGTAGTAGCTGGGCTCAAGTCTGATTTTAAGACTTGGAGTGCCATCGAGACTTTCAGTTTATGTTGTTTGTCAGTTATAGATACAAAATTAATGATGGTTAAAAATGTGAGAATTAAAAAATTAATAATAGATTAGTAAATTAAAAATAGAACAGAAATGTATGACATTAAATATAAAGCGGTATACAAAGAAATAAAAACAAGGACAGCAAATGAAATAATAATACCTGCTATAAGAAACCTTTGTGGCATAGATTATATTATCAACTGACCCCAAGCTGCGTGTGGAAGAAGTTTTTGAAGGGAATGCTGTTGCGTTGGAAAAACAAACTATATCACCACTTACATGACGACGTTACCCGTCAATTATGATATCTACCCTTACTATTGAAATAATTTATTATATGAACAACAATCAGGCTTCAGGGGCAGCCATTCAACTGACACATGTTTGATCAGTTTGTTGGATCATCTCAAGGATCAAAATGTTCAGGGGAATTTTACCGGTATGGTCCTATTGGACCTGCAAAAAGCGTTTGACACAGTCCACCATGATATCTTGTGTAAAAAACTTGAAATGATCGGCGTCCGATCCACAGGATGGTTTCGTTCATATCTTTCCAACAGGAAACAAGTTGTCAACGTTGGTAAAACTCTCTCAGACCCCTTGGACATTTCTTGTGGAGTTCCACAGGGCAGCATCCTGGGTCCCTTGTTGTTTCTCTGTTATGTGAATGACATGATCATTAGCATACCTGCCCCTTGTAAATTAATCTTATATGCTGACGACAGTGCAATCCTGTTTTCTCATCCAAATCCTGAAATAGTATCTTTAAAACTTAGCGAAGCCTTAAAGGCTTGTTCAGACTGGTTAGTAGACAACAAATTATCCCTCTATTTAGGTAAAACTGAATGCATGTTATTTGGCCCAAGTAGAAAACTAAAGAAAACTAGTAGTTTTGAAATAGTGTGTAATGATCATGTCATTCAAGCAACAGATAGTGTAAAATATTTAGGTCTATATATTGATCATTGTCTCTCTGGTGAATTAATAGTTAAAAATATTATTAAAGATAGGTTGCAAGGCAACGAAACATACGCCCACAGCAGCTAAATCGTCCGGGCAGTCAACAAGATTTTTTGAAGTGATCAAGGGCCATAACTCTTGCAGTAATTATCGAAAATCACTGAAAATGAATAGACTTCTTTGTCTCATGACCTTAAACACTGTGTATAAATTTAAAGTCAATCGGATATTAACTTTAGACTCTAAGAGCGTCATCAAGGGCCATAACTCTGGCAGTAATTATCGTAAATTGCTGAAAATCAATAGGATTTTTCGTCTCTAGACCTTAAGCAGTGTCGCTGGCATGTCTTGCAAAATTACTTATTTCTTATCAACATTATCAACATCCAGTTTATCAGAAACACACATGCAACCCACGGACAACAAAGTTCCGATAGAGATTGATGAGGTACCAATTTCATCGAACAAACGTAAGCTGAGCAAAGCTACGTTAGTTGATAAATGGATTGCTAAAGATTTAGCAAAATTCAATGCAGACCAGTGGCTGGACTATGAGTATACTCAAGATGGTCAGATTTTATCATTAAAATGTCTTTTGTGTACAAAGTACATATCCAAGTTACGACACATGAGGGAGTTTTCATATGCATGGATAAAAGGATCAACATATCTCTATCACATCCAATTGATCATGCTACTTCAAAGGTCCACAGGAAAGGTTATGAACTCCATGTCAATGAAATAGGAACAAACTCTGGTCATTCTATTCTTGATCCAAATCAGCAAACAATTGGTGAATCGCTTTCCAGATTTTCAGAAACTGTAAATGAACAATTGAAAAAGAAAGAAGAAATAGCGTATTTCATTGCAAAGCATGACCTCCCTATGTCAGTTTATGGAATATAGTCAAATTAGAAGCTAAACATGGGGCTGATGTTGGAGATGTATACATAAATAGAAAACAATGTGCTGAGTTTATAGATTGTCACGGAGAACATATATCAGAACAGTTAAAGGAAGACTTAAATAAGGCAGACTTTTATAGTGTCCTCATAGATGGAAGCACAGACAATTCTACTGTTGAGAAAGAAGTTGTTTATGTTCTTTATTTTAAACTTGAAGCTGATGCAACAACTGATGTCTTTGTCAAACTATCCTTAGTATATTTAAAAAAACATTAAAAAAAGCTGATGCAGCAGGCATTAAATATGCCATTGAAAGTAGCTTTGAGAAATTAGGAATTTCAAAATTCAATTTCTATCAAAAACTTATTGGATTCGTTGCAGACGGTGCGTCCGTAAACAGGGGCGAAAAGTAGAGGGTAATAGCTTTATTAAAGGAGAGATGTCCATGGATTGTATTCAATTGGTGCGTTGCCCACAGGCTCGAACTTTCTCTACGAGATTCATTAAACAAAACCAATTTTAAAAAATGTGATAATTTTCTTCACAAATTGTATGCAGTTTACCATAGATCCCCGAAAAAACTTGAAGAACTGAAATCATTTTATGAGACTATGATAAACTGTTATGAGTTTGTAGAAGAGTCTTATAAACCTCATAGAGCGTCGGGTACAAGATGGATAACCTTCAAATTATCTGCTTTGAAAATTATTTTAGACAAATATGGTATATTTATGGCAGACAAGACCTGCAGTGACAGAGACAAAATTAAAGGCTACTTGAAGGAATGGAAGTCTATACATATGCTTTTGTGTGGGGCTTTTTTATTGATGTATTGACCCCAGCATCTATTTTATCAAAACCTTCCAAGAAGATACCATAGACCCAGTGTCAACAACAATAGCTCTTAAAAAGGCCACAGAGAAATTACAGTTATTGTCTGAACGTGTTTTTATAAAACTACCAACAGTAAAATATTTAATAGCATCGATTGCCAAATTAGATGATGTTGGTAAAGTTTCCTATCAGGAAATTCAGTTTTCTTCTGCTGACTTTGAATCAAGTTTGGAAGACTTGTCAAAATCAAAATCTACTGTAGTCGAGTCTGTAAAGAGCGCGATAATATCAAGACTTGACAATGACACTGACAGTGTTAGTAGTGGACATTTTAACTATAACAAAGTGTCTAATGTATTGAACTGTGAAGCTTGGGAGGCAGAGGTAGAAACTTCTCCTTTCAGCCTTGAATTTAGTGACTCCATAATACTGGATTTCTCCAGTCATTTCGAAGTTGTCTTGAATAATTCTGCTTCTTATTTGTGTGATGGTGTTACTTCGAAGTTGTCTTGAATAATTCTGCTTCTTATTTGTGTGATGGCGTTACTTTAGTAGAGGAGTGGCATGATATGGTACATTATGCCTTACATTTTTTAAATCCAAGCAAAAACAGTTACAGAAAAACTTGGAAATATTTATTTCAATCTTAATATGCCAATACAAAATGGACAAACATATTGGTTTTAATCAAACTTTTATTTACATAACCAATAGCTAATTCAAAACTTGAAAGATTTTTCTCTCATTCGAAGCTGACAAAAACAGATAACTGTTGTTCACTTGCAGAAAACAGATTGTGTA